AATAAATTATTAGAAAATGCATTTTAACACCAGATTTGCTACTACTGTAAGGATTTTGCTTCTTTCTTTTTGGTCCAGTACCTGTGATTTCATTGGTACAGGGAACTTCCAGTTTCTTCCACCAAAGTAGATCCAAAGTAGATCAATGAACTATTCTACAACTTTGGGCCCAGGATCATAGAGCTAGTATGTGTTTAAACAGAACTTGAACCTAGGTTTCCTGACTCAGATTCACTAACCACTATGCCATGGTGCCTCTCAGTGACTTTAAGTAGTTGCAAATATTTTTAGATAACTTTATTCATAATAGTACTATATATATATATATATAAATTTAAGTATACGTTGTGTTGGCATCAGTTTTTGTTCCTCATTACTACTTTTCTAATATTATTGGTTAATTGATATGAAATTTTAATAGCACTAGCAATAAGTAAGGACTAAATATTATTTCTCCATCTTTTTCTCCTTTAAAAACTTGGCTTTGTATCAAATGTGGTAAAATCGGTTCCAATTGTCATAATAAATTTACATTTTCTTGCTTCACCATTTATAAATGTGTATTTGCCACTAATAGAAAATGAATATCTATGCAATGGGCTTAAAGCCCAGGGACCTCTTGGTTCATCCTGGCTTTGCCACTGACTTGCTCTGCCACTGACTTGCTCTGCCACTGACTTGCTCTGTGATCTTGGGCAAATTACTTAAATTTTTTGAGCTTTAATTTCCTTGTTCATGAAATAAGGATAATAGTTACATGACCTTTACCGGGTTGTTGTGAGGAAAATCTCCTGTAACTCCAAGTACTATAAATCAAATATGTTATTTTATAGTGCCTCACAATTTACAAAATGTTTTCTTCACAACAACCTTGAGAGAGAGAATAAGGATTGTATTACTAGGCCCATTTTATAGATGGGGAAGCTACTCTATAACTGGCAAGAGTGAGAATGGAATATGAATCCAGGGCTCTTAATGATTTCCAAATTCAGCACTGGAAAGAATAAAGTTATAATCTCTGATATCACAGACAAAGGGAGACGCTAGGGTGGGCTAACAGATGTTCTCTCTTTACAATTATAAAACATGGAAGTTTCTAGTATGAGTCAGAAGCTGGAAGTGGGGATGGATCCAGAGCAGAGGCACCTCCAATGTGAGATTCTTTTCACTTAGTTTGGGGGTTTTTTTTGTTTGTTTAATTTTTCACTAATACCGTATTCCATTTTTCTACTCACAGTACAATATTTTGTAAACTGATTTCACCATATGGCATTTAAAAAGGTTCAAGAGACATAATTTCTGGGTAATTTAATCATTTTATTAGTAATGCCAGCATTTTAATAAAAGTATGGTCATTTGGCCATCTGTCTCTTAGACCAAAGACAATCATGGCAGACTTATAGGTTTTATGTCTTTCTAAGAGTAGGTGTACCCCAGGGTGGCAGTCAACCCTGATTGGCTAACAATTAATGAGAGGTGGACTTAATGAGAATTAACAATTAACTAACTAGCTAACAATTTATGAGAAGTGGGGCTAATGAGTGGCTAAGGGTGACATCATGTCACCCTTGGACAGAGGGACTATCTCTATACCCAGACCACTCCCAGCCTTGGGCAGTTTAGACAGAAGGGTCTGTCTCTTCCTTCCATCCCTACCCCAGGTTGATTGAATGGAATTCACCTTAGACTAGAGATTCCTTACAAAATTGGGTGGGGTCAGATAGACAAGAAGGTTAGCTCACCCTTCAGAAACTGAGGTCTTGAACTGAGGAGAGAGAAAAGGGGGAACTCTGAATCTTCCCAAATCATTAGTTATTAATAATAATTTCTCTCATTCCCCTATTTGATGATTCTGTTGAGAGGTGCATCCTCCTCAATGAATCACTCACTGGTATGACAAACACTTCATCAAAGGTTTCTAACTTTGAGACTTATGAGGGGAAACAATGTGAGGGGAAAGGGAAAGATGGACAAGCATTGACAAAATCAGAAGGGGCCATCCCTTTTGATAACATTTTGACAAAATCAAAAAGGGCAATCCCTTTTGATAAGTAGATCTTACAGATAAAAAGGTGCAAAGGCAAAAGGTAAACAAACAGTAAAATAGAAGTCTCATCTCTCTGGTGTCTTGGAAAGATCTGCTACAGCTCTCTGGTTTAGATGTGGTCTCAGCAGTTCTTCTCTAGTTCAGGTCACTTGTAGAGATGTTCTTTCCCTACAAAATTGGTCTTAATGCAATTTTAAATTTACTTTGCCAATAACCAGGTCAAATAATGAAAGTTAGCTCAAACTTTATGTCTGTATTGTTAGAAAATCATATTTGGAACCTTTTAGGCCAGGGAATTTACAATTTTACATTGGCCAATTGTCATGTTAATAATACAAAGGAAACTCAGATACAAACAAAAAATTAGAACCCAATTTTTATACTTGGCATTATTCATTCCCCTATTAGGAACATGGGATTCTGCTAAGTAATTAATAACATGAACACTTTTTATAAGAAGATGGACTCCAATACCAAAATGAATTCATTTAAAAGTTGTCAGATTGGCTTCAATTGTAATAAAAGGCTCCAGGATGGTATATATAAATACACTGAGTGATCAGTTTCAAAATAGTGCATATCAAATAAGTTTTAAGATGCTTAATAACAAACAACAAAAGACTTGGGATGGGATGTGTAAATATAATAATCCCAAATTGTATACAGAGAACAGTTTATATGAAACACTGTCTATACTAAAACATGTTCAGTTATTAACCACATTCAAATGGACATAACAGAGACTGCTGCTCTCAGAATCCTTTTAAACTATGGGAACATCTTTAAGGTGACTCTTAAGTAGTTTTCATGCATTTCTACACATGTTCTAATCCCAGATTAAGTAACAAACATAAGTAAAATCAGATTTCCCATTAAGGTGACATAGGATAGCTCCTAAGTTACTACTCTTCACTAACATAACTGTGTTGAAATCCTATTCCTTAAAGAATAAACAAAAGAGGTTCTTGACTTAACCTCACAACTTAATAGATTCACATGTTTGTTTCACAAACTTCTCTACCTTTGTCTAATTATACCCATATCATTCTGAAAAAAATGAGATACTTCAAGAAATTGAATCTTATACAAGTTCAAGCACTAATTTAACTCTTGTTTAGACCATGGAATGACAAATTCAGATCAAAATAGCAAGATCTTTCCCACTTACAGCTTATTACAGTAATGTAGATGCCTTAATATTAGTCTAATAACTAAAAGATTCAGTATTGTCGTAATAAACTTCCGCTGTTTGTCTGCACTGATAATAGAAATTCGCTATGAGTTATAAGCAGGGGACATGGTTATAACAGCACCAAAATTGGTCCTTAAGGCCTACACCAATCTAAGTGATCTATCATATGGAACCAGGTGAACAGATTTCTTGAATGGGAAAATGAATTAAGAAGAGTCCAACCTTAGCTTTTTCTACCTACCTTATTCCCAGGGACAGATATTCATTAGCCTTGGATCTCAGACATTGCTTCCATTGAGCTGCTGACATTTTGTTTTTTTAAACATCCATTTAAGGATGGTCAAGGACACAACAAACCTGAGAACGAAACTCCAAAAAGAATATTCAGGGTCCCAAAAAAGCTTTTTCCTTAAACAGTAAAGTCTCATTAATCACAGTAGGTTTGTACACAATTGTTATCAGTATCATTGAATTATTGCAATAAGTTGTCTTACAAATAAAATGTAGTAAGCCTTCTAAAAATCACACGAAAGTTCTTAATTAAACATGTACACGAAAGATTTTTACTTAAGCATTTCCTCCTAAAAGTATTTCTCTTTGTCAAAAGTTTATCCTGATATTAAAAAGATAATCACTAAACTTTCATGAAGTAAATTCTTTGGAAACCTCTAAACTGACAGATATCTATTCAACCTTAAAGGAAAAAAAATCTTTAAAATTGGAATTTATCAAAACTAAGTTGGTGTAAAATGTCTTTTCATATCATAAATAAATCCCCAAAGTGTCATAAAAACAAAATAAATTCCTAATCATCACAAAATTCCTAGTTACTACCCTTCTGTCATCAAAACGTGTTTACAATAGGGAGTATTCAGTTTTTCTGAGCAAAAAAACCCCCAAACTAATTAAATTAGCCTTATCACAATAACAAAGTTTACCAGGCCTTTAAAATTTTATTCAGTATCCTTTTCTTCCCTTTGTCTTAAAATATATCACTAGAAATCAAGAAAATAATTACATTCTGGAATTCCACATAGATAGTGAATATGTGATAGTTCACTTAAACCCCTAAAAAAACACTGGTCAATTGCTGTAAGCCTCCAGATTCACATATAGAAATTTAACATAACATAAAGATTAACATAAAGAAATTTAGAAGACCTTTGGGATTATCAGGTTCAAACAGATTAATGAAGAGATGAAGAAACTCAGTCTCAGAGCTGTGAAGTGACTTGTGAAAAGTCAAATGACTAATTAGTCAGAATCTTGGACTGAAGCTGCTGTCCACATTTCCATTAGATCATGCTAATAGCTGCAGATATGATCTAAGTGGCATAGTGGATGGAGTGCTAGGTCTAGAATCAGGAAGACTTGAGTTCCAATCCTGACTCAGACAATTACTGGCTGTCTGATCCTCAGCAAGTCACTTAACTTCCCTGTGCCTCAATTTCCTCATCTATGAAAAGTGGAAAATAGTAGCACCCACCTCCTGGGTTTGTTGTGTGGATCAAATGAAATAATATTTGTAAAGGTCTTAGCACAGTGCCTGGCATGTAGAAGGTGCTATATTAATGCCAGCAATTAATTAATTAATTATAAAACAGAGATGATAATAGCACCTTTGTCCCAGGGTTGTTGTGGGGATCAAACAAGATATTTGTAAAGCACTTTGTAAACTTTAAAGCACTACATAAAATACTTTGTTGTTGCTATGAGTATGATATTATTTATTATATATATATATATACATATTTTTGTTAGATCTGCAACTTGCTGCTGAGCTTGGGAAGACATTGTTGGATCGGAACACAGAGCTCGAAGAGTCTCTTCAGCACATGTACACAACTAATCAGGAGCAATTACAGGAAATTGAGGTAAACTCAGTTATATTCCTGAGGTATTGTCCTAGACTTTCAATGTAGCATGTGTCTTTTTTTGTTTGTTTGTATATTCATCAAATGAATATTGAAACAGACTGCTGCAATGAAAGTCAATATTTGAATTCCAATATAACCCTTACCAATATTGAGAAAACTTGATTGAATCACAGAATTGTTCAAATTATGCCCCTTTTCTTGCCTTAGGTGTAGAAAACCAAGAAATATTTAATCTTTTAGGCTTCTTTTTTGGAAAAAAAAAAGTATCATGAATAATAAAATTTTAGGACTACTTGGAACCTTAAAAGATGAGGTCTAGAAAAATGTAGTGACTTGGCTGTGGTCAAGGAATTAGTCTTAGAGCCAGAGTTAGAGTGAGTCCCTGGACTCCTTTTCAGAATATTGTCTACTATGCCATGTTAACGCATTGATGACATTTTTAGGGCTATGGATAAGATTTCAGAGAATTGCAGGATGTCCAAGCTGGAAGGGAAGGTCTTAGAAAGCACCTAGCTCTTTCTAGCTCTCATTTTGGAGAGGCAATGTGGAAGAAAACTCTGGACTTAGAACCAAGAGACCTCAATTCAGTCCCAACTCCTCTGGGCAAATCACTTACCCTTTCTGGATCTCAGTTTCCTGATTAGTAAAATTGGAATAGTACTTTGTATTACCTCAAAGTTGTAAGGAATGTGCTCTGTAAACCGTTACCTGCTGTATGAAGGTGAGTTCTTTATGTGAAGGTGACTTACTCATGGTCACAGTTAGTTGAGCTTTTTCAGAGCTGGAACTAGAACAGTCTTCTGATACTTGTCCAGTGCTCTTTCCTTTCTATCCTGATGTCTCCCTTTAAAATTATCTAAGTTTAATTTTCATATGGCAGTATTTAAGTGCAAAACAATGATGAGAATACTGTATTTCTACTTTTAGTTTTTTTAGTTTCTTAAATTTTGAAGATGATGATAAGGTATTCTGAAGGTGAAGAACCAAGGTGACTAAATTCTAAGTAGCTCAATTTTATTAGTTTTTCTCATGAGTTGTACCATGCAAAGGATCAATAGTAGACCATTTTCTCTACTTCTGTGGTCTCAGTCTATTTACATTTACAAGTATTTTTAATTTAATGATTGTCACATGAAATAGAAAATAATCTAAGAGAGATGCTTACTTTCAGTTTCTTTAGTAAGGAAAAGCAGTTATTAAGTGCTTACTCTGTGCCAGGTACTGGGGATATAAATTAAGAAACAGAGACAGCTCTTGCTTTCAAGGAATGTATACTCAAATGGGGAAAACAATGTATACATGGATGAGCCAGGGAGAGGCACTTGAGTTCAGAAAGTTGCCTGGTTGGTGAGCAGAGTTGATTTGATGATGAGATAATTGTTGGTAAATACTGCCATTTAGGTAGTACAGATAATTGAAGATCTTTTTTATGGTTCCATAACCATTGTGCTATTAACTGTTTTATTAGTAAACTTTTTTTTTCCTAGAAACACCTCAATCAATAATATCATTGCAAGTTAAACCTCCAAAGATTTTGACAACATAGGACCCAGGGCTTTTGTGCCTGTTTAGAAAAGTTTCAAATTGTCCATGCTCATGGAGCCTGTGTTACCTGAATCAGCATCTTTTGAGGACCAACTCTCTATATTCAGTGCTGGGGTTATAAAGGTAGGAAGCATAGGAATCGGATGTCAGAACTAAAAGGGACATGACCTCAAAGGTCATGTAGCCCAATACCCTTAGCTTACAAATGCAGAAAGTGTGGTGAAATGACTTCCTTATTAATAACAGAGGTACAACTTGAGCCCACCTTTCTGACTCTCTTCTACTATACTATATCCTGGAGAGGGCCAAACACAAGAAGCTTACGACTACATTACTCATAAATTATTCCACCCTGGAGCACATAGGTGGTGCAGTGGGTAGAGCACCAGCCCTGGAATCAGGAGGACCTGAATTCAAATCTAGCTTCAGACACTTCATAGCTCACACTTACTAGCTGTGTGGCCCTAGGCAAGTCATTTAACCCCAATTGCCTTGTCAAAAAGAAAAAAGAAATGATTCCACCCGAAAGATCTTATCAAAAGCAAAAACACCAGTTTGTTCACTTAAGACACTTATTCATTCTACCATATTTACAGTGTATGTAACAGACCTTCCCCTTAACTGCATTTTCACAAAATTTGTGTGACTTGCCCAAAAAATATTTCTAAAACTTTTGGGAAAGTGAGTCTTGAAATTAGGCCAAGTACAACTTTAATGTGTTAGACAAAGATTATAGAACATGCTGTTTCCTTAGTTGAAGTTAATGAGGCTTAGAGTTTGCCAAGATACCTACAAGTGTTTACCCAAGCTTTTAAAAATTAGTTAAAGGTCCGCCAGATTTCACATTGGCCAAATAGAATGACTTTCTAGCTTGATTGATAACCTAGATGGATCACACTATTTGATTAATTCCTTTATGGTTCACATAATATATGGAGAACAGAGGGGAAAGAGAATTTTGTTTTCATTGCAGAGTCCCAAGGTGATTTAAAATACTTAACTCTAATAATTATATATTTCAGATTCATCTAATTATTAAATGACAGCTGTGCACAGGGCACAGTGTTGGCTGCTTGGGAAGGGTAAGAGTTTAAGACAATCCTTGGTCTGAAAATTACAGTGAATTTTGTCACCTTGTCTTATAAGGTCCTTCCACATTTGTGAGTGACGGTATTATGCAGGACTACGTGGAAAAGTACATTAGAGAGAGACAAAACAAAATGCTGCTTAAACTCCAAAAGGTAAAAGTTGAAACTGACCAGGAGCCCATGGAGAAGGTGCATTCGAGTTGGGTTTTTAAGATGGTAAGGAAATCCGTAGATCAGAGGTGGGGAAGAGGACATTCCTGGAATGGGAAACAGCATGTGCCAGGGGCAAATCAATCCAGTTTGGCTACAGCTTAGTGTGCACCAAGGGGGGATGAAATGAAATAAAAGAGGAAAGATGGAGTAGCACTGCATGGTGAAGGGTCTTGACAAGCAGGCGAGATGTTGGTAAGACCTAAAGGAGAGCCCCTTAGAGTTTTTGAGGAGGAGTGATCAGATCTGGCAGAGGTTTAGGGGATGAAATGGAAGAGAGTGGAATGGGGAGGATTCATGACAAGGCCCTTTTTCAGTAGTGGCATAAGCCTGTGGCAATGAGGGATGTTGGTCAGTCAGTATCGGTGAGAATAAAGAGGCTGAAGTCAGACTGAATGGAGATGTGTGTTATGGATGTAAAAGAGGAGGGTCCAATGGAACACCAAGGTCTTGAACACAGAAGACTGGATAAATGTGGTGCTGTGGACAGAGATAGGGAAGTCCAAAGCAGGATTAGGAGGAAAAATAAAGTGGAAGTGGGTTTGGGACATGTTGACTTAGATGTGCTGGTAGAAAGAACATCCAGGTGACACTATTCTATCAGCAATTGGAGACTAGGGTCTGGGGTGAGAAGAGAATCAGGGTTTGAGAGAACAGATTTAGGAGTTGATGTCCAGGGGCTTTCTGTGGCTAATATGTTTCAATTCAGTGGAAAATATCATAAAATGTAAATCATTATGAAGAATGGTAGGTAGAAATCAGTCTTAAAAGAATGTTGATATTAATTACATAAGCATAATTATACACATTAGACAACCCCTCCCAACAACAACAAAACAAAGTACTTCCAACTGTAGAAGAGAAATTAACTCAAATTACTACATAATTAATAGGTTTTGCTTGTTGGTTAGTAAAAGGAACATAGGAGCTTACACCAGAATAATTGCTTTATAAGTTGTTTATCTTTATTTCTTTATCTGTTTAAGGAAGTTAATTAAAGTAGTTTCTCAAATATTCAGACTAGAAAGTACAAATTATATATTTTTTTCAATCAGAAGTTCCAGCTTTGAATCTAAAAAAGACAAAACATTAAAATACGTAGATGGGCATTTCTGAGTGAGCAAAACAGGCTTATTCTTTGAAAGGAATATTCATCCTTGTTGCTTTCCTTAACTTTAAATGTACCCTTTACTTTTACTTCTTGCCTTCTCACTCACTTCTTAACTCTTAGCAGTCTGCCTTCTGACATTATCACTCCATCATTACTCCTGCCTTTTCTTAATCCTCATTCTTTTTTGACCTCTCTGCACCACTCAACACTGTTGACAACTCTCTCCTCGATACTTTCTCCTATTTGGGTTTTCATGACACACTGCCTGGTCTCCTGGTTTTTCTTCTACTTATTTGACTGTTTCTTCTTAGTTATTTTTACTGGTTGATCATCTATATCATCCCCTACCCCTAACTGCAGGTATTCTCCAAGGCTCCATCTTGGGCCCTCTTTTATTTCCTTTCTCTCTACTCTCATTTGGTGACCTCATCAGCTCCCATGGGTTTAATTATGATCTCTCTGTAGAAATCATCTCTATATATCTAGTCCTAGTCTCTCTCCTGAGCTCCAGTCATTCATCTCCAACTGCCTCTTGGACATCTCCAATTGGATATTCTGTAGTCATCTCAAACTCAGCATGTGCAAAACTTAACTAATATCTTTACCCCCCAAAAAAGTCTTCCAGACTTCTTTAATTCTGTCTAGGTCATTATCATCATTCCAGTTTCTCAAGTAACAGCCTAAGGGTTTGAGTCATCCTCTCTCTCATACCACATATCCAGTTATTTATCAAAATGTTTCTGCCTTTGTAATGTCTCTTACATTCATATCTTTCTATCCCAGATATGGCCATCACAGGTGGCCTATCACAAGGCCATCACCCTAGTTTAGGCCCTCATCACCCCTAACATGCACTATTGCAAAAACCTTCTAATTGGTCTGTTTACCTCAAGTCTTCCTTCTCCTGTCTATCCACCACACAGCTGCCAAAGCGATTTTCCTAAAATACAGGTCTGACCAAGTCATTTCCCATCCCCTACTCAATAAAGTACAGTTTATTAGCTGGATTCTTTTGGTGCTAGAATCAAATAAAATTCCCCTGG